TGGTACAGGGGTAATGTTGTAATTACATATTGTGCCTAGGTTTACTCCTGGGGTTATAAATAGGCCTGTTAGTAACCCCAGGAGGTAACCCTGAATTCTGTAACCTCTTTTCTGATTATTGAAAGGAACTCGCCGCTCTGCTCCCGAGGACGTAGGCATCTTTGCCGAACCTCGTTAAATCTCTGTGTTCTTCTGGATTTGTGTCGATTACTGTTTTTCTTGGCCATAATTTTCCCAACAAGTGGTATCAGAGACAGGTTCGAGGGCAGGAAAAAAAAACTACGACGGCGCAAGAAACAAGAAGAATGATTTGAGGATTTTGGAAGGAGAAGGATCTGCCTGGCTTCGGTTCGGAATCAAGGAGGCAGGAGGCAGGTCAAGATCTGCACGAGGTGCTCATCGCGACGGGACCAGGAAGAACGCGCGGGTTTTCGGCGAAGTGTTTGCGCGGGGTTCATCCGCGCGACAAGGAAGCGGAGGCTTTTGCAACAGGCCGAACAAGCTGAAGGATCGCGAAAGAGGTTCGCGTATGCGAATAGGCGAGGCTTCTTCCACAGGGCGGTTTGCTGCAGATCGGAGCAGGTTGTGAATCGCGGCAGGCAGAAAAAGGAAAGCGTTCGCGACAGGCAAGGAAGGCAGCGTGAAAGAATTTTAAAGGAAATATTGGATTGTTTCCTTTCTGGCGTACTGATCGCGGAGACCTGTTCTCTTTCCTGGAGAGCAAAAATCAAGGACGTTGTGGAGAAGAAATATCAGGAAGGAATTGTTTGCTGTAGCCATTTTCCTTTCCTGGACAACATGAATTACGGAAACAGGAAAGAATTGGGGTTTTTCCATTGGAGGAGAATATTCTCTCCAAAATAGCAGAGGAGGAGAAATTTATTTCCTGAAAAAGAAAATTCTCCTTTAAAGTTTGCTGTTGGAAAGGAATCCAAAAAAAAAAATATTCTCTTGCTGGAGGAGGCGTATTTGGAGAAAGACTAAAGGAAAGTTTTTTTTGAAATTTGTTAATTAAAATTAATATTTTAATTAAGGGGTTATTTCAATTTTTTTTTTCTTTTCTTTTCAAAAAAAAAAAAAATTTTCTAAAGATTTTTGCAGAGGAATTTTTTTGCAGAAAGTTTTGTTGCAGGAATAATTTTCAGATGACATTTTCTAGTGCAAAATTCGAGGTGGTGAAGTTCGACGGAACTGGTAACTTCGGATTGTGGCAAACCAGGGTGAAAGATCTGTTGGCGCAACAGGGAATCTTGAAAGCTCTGCGGGCAGCAAAACCAGATGCCATGGAGGATGAAGATTGGGAAGAATTGCAACAGCGAGCGGCAGCGACGATACGACTATGTCTAGCAGATGAAGTTATGTATCACGTGATGAATCTGAAATCTCCAGGAGAAGTTTGGAAGAAATTGGAAACTCAGTTTATGGCTAAATCTCTGACGAACAAGTTGTATCTGAAGCAAAAGTTATATGGGCTGAAGATGCAGGAAGGTTATGATCTGGCGCAGCATGTTAATGGCTTCAATCAAATAATCACAGACCTATCACGGCTTG